AGCATTACATTGGAACACTTTCGTGACTTTCCTCTGCAAATTCGATAACTTCTCACTGGACAAGGCGCAGATGCAAGGGAGTTTCCTGAGCACATCCGCAACAACAACAATACTTTCGCATTTGCGTCAAGTGGAACTCACCTGGACACATCACGACACGGACCATACTGCTATAGGATTCACGGGCAAATCTGCCACAGGATTGGGCCTGCGCGCCCGGAAGAGGGCCAACTGCATCAATATGGATAAGTATACATTCTCGACGATACAGGCGGACGATATAGTGCGGACCATAGATGTTGGGCAAACTGTGAGATATTTCTTCATTGGTGGACCAGGAGGAAGTGGAAAACGTTACTATACACAGCTTTGCATCATACTCTGTTAGGAAGGGGGCGTACAGCAAGTAGCACTTTCAAGCTGAATATTCACGATAAGGGCAAAACGAGTACGATGACAAGGGAATCACCAGAAGAACGAGCCCTACGAGACATTTCTGTCATTTTTTGGGACGAGATTTCGATGGTTCCAAAATGGACAATGGAAGCCGTGGACTTCCTGCTAAGAAATCTGATGCAAAATGAGGTACCGTTTGGAGGAAAAACCATGATTGTCAGAGGGGATTTTCGACAAGTTATCCCAGTTGTAGAGAAGTGACGACAGGAGGACTTGATAAACGCATGTGTCAAAAACTCATATTCGTGGCAGTACCTTGTCACTCATCATCTTTCCGTCAACATGAGGGCCACCGCAGAAAGCACTGAATGGGCAAGAGCGCTGCTCCGGACTGGTGAAAAAGGTTGTGAAGCAGATGAAGCGACTTTGTCGTGTTACCGACAACGTTGTATAGCACAGGAGATCTTATTAGCGATGTTTCTGGAGAAACAATAGCTGCTGACGATATAGAAAATTTCGCAGGAAAGGCGATGCTCTCCTCTGAAAATGTGCATGTGGCACATATGAATGACACCGCATTGCAGCGAATGCCAGAACACCTGGAATTAAAAGTGAATAACAGCATAGACGAAGCAGAAAATGCCGACCCAGCGGACGTCTTCAGTTATCAGGTGGAACACCTAAATAGTTTGTCATTGAGTGGAATGGTGCCGCATGAGCTCAAACTGAAACAAGGATGCATCGTTATGCTTCTGTGCAATCAAGATGTATCTAAAGGTCTGTGCGACGGCACAAAATTTATTGCTGAACAGTGTGGCCGCTATATTCTCGGATGTCGCTTCGCTACCGGAAGCAGGAGGAATAAATTTGTTCTCATCCCACGTATAATCTGAAAGGATAGGGGGCTACCATTTCGAATTCGTAAACGACAATTTCCCATTCGCCTCGCCTTTACCACCATCATCAACAAAGCTTAAGAACAGACACTATCAAAAGTCGAGGTGTATCTTCTCGACAACGTTTTTCCCATGGACAGCTCTATGTTGCTCTTTCAAGGGATCGAGACGCCGAATCGGTGAAAATTCTTTCATCAACACGCAGAATCAAGAACATTGCCCACAAAAATGTTCTGTAAAAGACATAGAAATTACTCATATCCTCTCCTCCGCATCTGTTCTATTCTAATACTTGACCATTGTATTATTGTTCTTACAAGCAGACTACTTTACCTATTTTCACCTCATCGACGTGATGTTGCCATGCCAAAGTAATGCCGGTTTTCACATATGCACGACCAACCTCACGCTCAAATTATATACGCTCTTTTAACAAGTTAAAATTCATGAAGAATACCAGAACTTTACCATCTGCAACATCCTTTATTCACACTTGATAGATACGGCAAAATTACTAAGCACAGGTCAGTAGCATTTCAAACCACCTGCAGAACTGTAATTATCATGACTCTACCAAATAAGCACAGCTTGACTTTTAAAAATAGTTTTTTTTTTGGAAGCTTTGTGTCTAGATTTTGCATTAGTGTCTAGAAGAGTCAGTCCGGATCCGATGTCTCCACCTCTCCCCCACCCCAACTACTAATCCCATCAATCGAACGACAACTACAGTTTCCAAACCATTCTAAGAACTGTGACTTTTCCATGGCGCAATCCACGGCATCCAAGTCAAACTTTTGGAATTAGTTCCATTTAGAAGTGTTGTTCCGTCCGCTCTCAAAAGATTTTGTGTTATGCTCAAGTCCAATATCTCCTTGCCAACTGCTAACCTCAGCAATTGAATGACACATACAGGTGAGTGAAGTCCGGAACCTTCAACCACTAATCCCATCAACCGAACGACATCTACAGGTAAATTTCAAAACCATTCTGAGAACTGTGTCTTCTTCACGGCTCAACCAGCTATGCTCATTTTAGAATCTAAGGATTTTTTATGTTGAGCATCTTAAGGATTGCCCTAAAAAGTCGAGTGACGATGAAGCAGGAAAAATTTGCATAAAGTTGCGCACTGTCATCATACTTACACCAGCACCTACTTCATTAGCAGTACGAATGAAACTTGGCAAGGTTCCTCCTGCAATATAGCATGCTCCTTCCAGCCATAATCAGCGGGATTAAAGAAGAAGGAATAAGCAGGTCGAGCCGCATTTTGCGTGCCTCGGGTCAGTATCATCCCACAAGTAGTCTACTCTCAGCAACCAACTTTCGCGCTCGGTATCGTGCGCAGCTAAACTGGTAGCCAATAAAGCTGAAGTCAGGCTATTACAACTCTTTCGAACTCTATACACCAAAGATCCATGTATCCTCATCAAGGCTTATAAGTCGTACATCCGTCCTATTCTGGAGTATGGATCGATTATTTTCTTTCCCCACAAGAAGAAGACCATCTCCAGGTTAGAGTCTGTTCAAAACAGCTTTACTAGGAAGGTTCTGGTCCGTTCTTTAGGTTTCAACTACAATGTCATACCCAGGGCTGTTGTCAGGAACAAAATGCTTGGTCTGGAATCTCTTCTTCGCAGAAGGGAAAAGACTGATCTCATTATGTTATTCAAAATACTTGTCGGGAAAGGTGCCGATTGATTTGCAAAGCCTCTTCACTGTTCTTCCTTCTGTTACTAGAGGAGAAAAGTTCAAATTAGTTCGTCCATTTGCTAGATCCAACACCAGAGCAAATTTTTTTCTCTTCGCGCTTCTAGTGAATTTGGTAAGCTCACCAAAAAATTCGCCATGCCCAGCAGTTTATCGCACTTAAAAAAATATTTACAAAATTCTATACTTAAGGGCTTCAAATTTTTCATTTTTTTCAAATCTGATTTTTAGAGGATGGACAATCATATTCACTAGTGTAATTTTGTTGTTCTACTTCATTTTCTTATGATGTTTTTTTCTAATTGTGTTGTTACGTCTTGGCACAGTTTTGTTGTGTTTTTCCCATGTACTTTTTGTACATGCAAATAAATAAGTAAATATGCCGACTTTGGCGTCTTTGTGCGACATAGCCGTTTGCAATGGCTATTTGTGTAGCTAATTGTCGTGATTCACGTCTTTCAACATCTCCAGTGCTCACCCTGGTCGCAGTTCTGAACATATTTCCAACAATAGCACGTTTAACAGCGACTGGGTGAGCCGACGTCGTGAATCAAAATGTTTTTCGAGCTACTTTTGCGGTACCATTTCACATGTGCGATGCCACTGGATAATTTGACTTGCGTATTGAGGTAGGGCAACCAACCGTCGTGAGGTGTTTCGCGAGTGAGCTTGATGTACTGTGATTGTTCATTCATTAGTCGGAAACACTCATCCATTTCGGACTGTGTCGACGTAATAATGAAACAGTCGTCAATATATCTACAGTACATCAAAGGTAGACGTTCAAGCACCGGTCCTTCTATTTTACTCATGAAACAAACAGCAAGGACTGGTGCTAAGCGTTGACCCATGGCAAGCCCTCTAATCTGAGAATAGTATGTTCCTGCCCACTTGAAGATATTACAATTTAAGCATTCCTTGATCAGAGTCATTATGCACGTTTTCCGAGTCCAAATGATCGTATACTATGCATATGCCTATCGAGCATTTCGGACAATGCTTGCAAGGCCTGCTCGTTTTGGACGTTAGTGTAAAGTTACATCAAATGACTCCATCACTGCACTCTCCTCAATGTGAGAAGAGTGTAGAATTCTCAAGGAACTTATTCGTATCAGGCGGTGAGAAAAAACCATGGGCAAAAGTTAGCATAATAGTGACCTAGTGATTGATTTCGAGAGAACCTTGTCAGTCACGCACACACTGGTCCATAATATCTTATCGTACCGCTTCCCTAAAAAACCATCGCGCGCTTCTTTTCTGTGGATGATAGCGGGCAAAAAAAAGGACATTAAAAAGCGCGGGAAGCATTTTATCACTGCGAATTTAGGAATTTTTCTCACCTTCCCTACAAAAAATCGTGTTGGTGTTCTGCTTTTTTCATCTGCGCTCTCTCATCGAGGAGGGCATGTTGGCATGCATTTCACAAAAAGTGCTCTAACTCGGAGCTGGAATGCTCTGATTCGTTTAACTGATGCAAGATAACTTCAATTATAAACTGCTGGCCGCTTCATTTAACGCTATTTCTTTAACAAAACCCAGGCAGACGTCAGGTGAACGACTCCCTTTTCTGTAGGTAGGACCTCTCAGATAATCACATATGTGGCGTTTCCGGGCATGAAATCGCCCAACGAGCAGTGTTTGCTGCAGTGTGCCCTCCTTTTATCTGTTGCGCTCTCTCAGCTCAAACACTTCAGTTATTATGAACGAAATAATCAAAATGGTTCCCAAACCTAGGTGAAATCAGTCCTAAACCACGTAAGAGAGTCGGTCCATCATTTGTGCAACAAAATACGTCTAATGCTAGAAAATTGTCTAAGAATTCCGATAATTCCGCAGCATGTTTCAGGACGTAGCCCTTACTTTTACAATTTTGTTCGACCCACTATGTAGCTCGATGTTCGCTACCTGCTGTGGTTAGTACACCGATTCCTTGAAAAGCTCTTCGTGCCCTCGATTTTCACGAGTACTGCTTGGAATGTTCCTCAAGTTAGGTTATAACAAGGATTAATCGGAAGATAAAGGAACACGCTCCCTCAAACCAGCGTGCAACGGCGTACTCTGACCAGCTTTGGTTTTCTATTCGGGAATGACCTACACATAAACCACCGCGTTATTGGCAATCACAGTGCTCTAATTTGCAAAACCAAATCTGATGCGGCAAGGTGACAGTACTGTGACGTTCCGAGGCCCTCCGGAAATATGAAGTTTTGATATCACATGCCCTGAGACCGAATCAGCCTCAAAAACGACGTAACACCGTCACTTTAGTTCAAACGATCTAGCAGTCTCGACTGCAGGAACTCAACCCCGTCCCACGGAAGGAGTTGAGCACTGAAAACTCCTACTTCTAGCAGATTCACAGTTAAAGCGGAATTCGAATGCCGACGGCAAATGCAACACTTTCAGTATAAAAAAAATGAAACAAGACAACCTCTTCTTTTCTATGACGCTGCTAGACTACCCTTGGCTGAGAAGATGCAGAAAAAGTTTGGAGAGTCTTGAGCGGAATGCTCCTCCAGATGCGCCTCATAGCCCTGATCTTGTGCATACAGATGCCCACCCACCTGCTTCTCTGCTGAAACCACTCCCAGAGAAGAAATCTCTTTCTAATCATCACGATGTAATTATCGACACCCAATATTTCAAATTTTCATCGATCAGAACTTAATCGAGTTCAGCTAGAAAGATCTTCTCCTGCGCTGAAAGGAGCTGTAGAATAATGACTGCGTTATTACTTCGGACAAATAAAACAAAGGAATACTAAAAAAATGAATCGAATGCAGCAATTTTGTTGCAAAAGTCATGGACCGTCATAAAGCGAAAATGGAAGTATTCGAAACACTGTTAGTCGCTCACTCACTCTTTCTGAGGCTTTACCCGGAGGAGCGCAGACGCAGAGCATCGCTCGGCCTGTATAATAGATGCAAGAAGCACCTTTATAACGACCGTAAAGAGACGAAGTGCTTCAAATGCTTCGGTATTCATATGCACTGTATCCTACGCGAAAATGTTACTGCAAAACATGATCGCCATCATTGCATTGGGCAAAAACTGTCCTAAGCCAACAACTCCTTTTGGAAACTACAACTTCCCTTTTCGGCATTTTGTGATTATTGTTAATGTTATTCCTTTGCCAACAAGGTTGCTAGGTGAAGAATAGGTGGTTATTCCCGATGCATTCCGGTTTTTTGGCTGCTCTCCATAATGTTACCTCAGAAACGCTAGATATGTAGCTAGGCGTTTGGCGCTTCGAACAGGACACATCCCTTTTGACCCATGTTTAGGCCTTTGAGGAGGACGATCTCGTAGGAGCCTCAAGCCACTAATAAGTTCCCACCTTACAACCTTGTTGGCAAACCAGTTGCCTGGTGCGCTTGGTTTGTGAGGGGAGACGGGCGTTTGTCCTCCTGGGGCCGCCGCCGCGCCGTCGCACGCGGCGATTCCACTCGCCGCGCGCGGCGATTGATGCGGCGAAGGCGATGTGACGGTTCGCTCCGCCCATCTGTGGCATTTTGCCAAGTTATCGGGCTGTCGATCGATAGACTGCTATATTTGCTGGGCTGATATTGTTTTACTGACGGATTGAAGGTGAGTTTGCTCATTCAAAACTGATTGGGATTGCTTTATATAGGTTGCATTAGTTGTCTGTAGTTATCGAATCATTTTTTTAGTCCTATGTACTCACAATGCCAATAGAGGATTGATTAGTGGTTGGAATTATATGGTTCTAGCCCTCTTCAACCCTATTTTGGCTGTTTGAGTGACCTGTTTTTAATTTGACTGACCCGTTCTTCCCAATGGCAGCGAACGAGAGTAGATCATGAAATACGGGCGGTATACCTACACACATATGAAGTCTAATCCTTAGCGCAGTCTTTTTCACTCCTACAGTCTTGATTGCGGAATCCGTTTCGTTTTCTGACATGTTTTATTTTGTTGTTTACCGTAAGCTTTGACATGTTCTCTTTTGTTAGAACCAAATGCCCACGTGTCTTTGCGATCCTCACTGTCTTGTCACTCGACACTCAAATTAAAGGGCTGCAACAGTGGACAATAGCTTGGACCAATACAAAACCTCCACATCGCAGAATCGCCGCACACGCGGCGAGCCCGATCGCCGCGTGCGGCGGCAGCCTGACCCCAGGAGGACAAACGCCACACACCCGTTTGTGAGATACCCGCAGTTCATTTCGTAGACAAAACTATTCTATTCTTTGACACTGGATTCAGTAGATCTTTAAACATTTTTCACTGTGGTTTTTTGTGTGAATGGTTCACAAGTAATTTTTGATTTTTTGTTATGTAGCAATTACTAGACAAGCTTGTTTTTGGGTGAAAAAAGATAAAGGATAAAGCATTTGCCGTTGATCAATCCCTTTTTGGGATGCGGCACGCATTCTACTTCCATTTGTACATTCGTAGTGGCGTTTGAATGCGATGTGGCCTATACAATGACTTGCGGGGGCCAGCCGATGTACAAGTCAGTGTTTTTATCC